TTTTTTAGGCTGTTCAAGAATCATCCAAAGTATTAAGAACGTTGCCGAATAATAATTTACAATCATTTTATTCGCAAGCGATATCAGAAGTTAAAGCAAATGCTGCTCGGGAGGTTCAAATTTTATTACAAAGATACCCTTTACCTGGTGTAGACCCTATGATGGTTATTGTATCAGCCGAAGAAGGTGCTCATCGGTTATATGATTTTTCTTTTTCTTTACTTTTTCTATCATCATATACATTTCTTTAAAAAATAGAGGTTTATCATTGTATATAGCAGTTTTTTTTTTAGAAGAAACAATTTTAAAAAAAAATTTTTTAAAATCTTTGGAAATAATAAAAATTTCTTTAAACAAAAATTTACGATTCGTCACGTGCAATTTTAACAAAGATTGGTTTCGGGGTTTCGGGGTTTCGGGCAAATTTATGTCCATACCAAAACATACCAAATCTTACTACCATACTACATACCAACTAGGCTTATCCGTATTATCGATCGTAAGATTGAAAAAAAAAAAATCTCTATACTTAAAAAAAAAATTTTACTACCATACGGTTACCAATTGGGATTAAGATCGAAAGATCGAAAGAAAAAATCTCAATACTTAAAAAATATTATTCATTATTAAAAAAATTTTTATTTTTTTATTCAATAAAAAAAAAGATGAAAATATTTACAAAATTTTTCGAAACAAAAAAATAAAATTGTCAGATAATTTCGAAAAAAAATTTTTTTTTTTTTTTTTTTTTTAAGTATTAATTGTGAGAGTTTGTTTTAACCAGGCGGAGGTTCTTAATTCTTTCATAATAAAACAAGCAACGTTGGCCCTACTAATTTTTGTATAAGATAAATTATCATTTAATTTCCACTGGTTGGTTAAATTTCCATTAAATAATCTTCCAGGTCTTACAATAGTCCAATCGATTTGATCAGAATATTTCTTTACAAGATTTTCTTGCATTTCTTTATCATCTAATATTTTACCAGTAAATAATCTTCCAAAAAACTTTTGCATAGAACTTAAACGTGTATTAGAGGAGTCACCAACCCCTTGTAAACTAACCACGATCAATCTTCGCACTCCATGATGTATCATTGAATCTATTATATATTGTTGTGATCGACTACATATATCAATATCATTATTATTGAATAGACGAGGTCCAATACAATTTATTACAGCATCTTGACCTTCCATTACTTTTTCTAAATCACTACGTGATAATACTGATCCTACTCTAATTACGAGATTTGGATTACGAAGTTGATAACGTGTGAAAGGTAAATTCGAGTCGGAACGTACTAGTGCTGTTACATGATATGAAGCATCCAATGCTTGATTAACTACTTGAGTACCTAAACGCCCGGTTGCTCCCAAAACTAATGAAAGAACAAAGAAATACAGGTAAGATAAAGATTACAAACATATGTATACAGTATACGAATTTAAATGTCTTTATGAAAACACACAAAGAATAAGAATTGAAAATCTTACCTAAAATATGTTTACCCCGCATAGTGCTAGGTGTGAAATCCTCAAAATTCAAAGTAATCGGAAATGTTGAAGGAAGAATTGAACTATGAGCAGCTCTTTTAATAACACTATATGATCTTGTTTTTTTTGATGGAGTTAATGGTAATTGAATTTTTATCATTTTTTCGTTGTGGTTTTGTGAAGGAAATACAAGTATGTGTAATTAATTGAAAAATTTTTTATAAGAAAAAATATATATATATATTGGTCACACTTTTATTAAAAGAGAGAATGTAAAATATAGTTGGAATTTTTTTGTTTTAAAAGAAAATCAATGATTAGGGATAGGGAATAAAAAGAAAAAATGTTTTAAACCGCTCAACGGTGCAGAACAGAAAAAAAAAAAAAATTAAAAGATGAGAAAATTATCGAGGTTTAAGAATGAAAATTCTGCAGGAGATATGTTGGGGTACAATTTACACACGAGAAAAATATATGACAATAAAGACTATAAAGGAAATAAAAGATATCAAATAAAAGTATTTATATGAAAATTTTTTACAATGGATTGATAACGAAAAATTTACAAGATTTACGATAATGATAATTGTTTTTAATCAATTTTTGAACTACAAATGTGCAATTTATGTAAATCAATGCCTCAAATATATGAATATTCTTTAGTGGTTTGAGCTTTCTTACTATAACTGTTTGTCTTGTTTTCTATAAATGAACTTTGGATATTTGAAAAACGACAGGGGAAGATGCGTTTTAAAGACTGAGGTTTTAGAAATATATAATATATATATATATATATATATATAGATTGTTAATGATTCGTAATACCAAAAACAAACAATAATGTAGGCAAAGAGTGTAAAGAAGTAATTCACTTGTTTTCTTTTTATAAAAATTAAAAAAAAAATTATTTTTTTTTTCGTGTTTGTAAATTTGTGAGAGAAAAAAAATTTGTTTCGCAGATTCTTGTTGTATATATATGATTTTTTTTAATAATAAAAAAAAAAGAGGCCGTTTATTTTGAAGGGTCCATTCCTGATTTGTTCTTCAAAAAAAAAACCCCCCAATATATCTTATGTAGTTTAAATCTTTTTTTCAAAGCGGGAACTTTTTTTTGTAACCAATATATAAACATTATCGTACGGCTTTTTTATAAGGCGATAATTACTATACTTGAGAGATAACATCGGAAATTATTTAATTTTTCATCCGCACATTGGCGTACATTTAACTACGTTAGCTACGTTTAGGATGGGTACCCAATGTAATTGTTTAAATAAACGTGGTAATTATGTAATTTATTTTCTTTGACAATGTAATAATATATTTTTAAAAAATGTATATCGAAGATCCATAAGATATTAATTATTATGTATTTAATTTAATCACAGCCTGGAATGTACAACAAATAAATTATTAGTAGAAACTTCTTCTAATTCTGCAAATTACTGTAATAAATAAATATTTGTTATAATCATTTTTTAAAAGAAATTCATGAAGTATATTTGAACATGTGTATATATTTGTTATTTTTTTGTTTAACATTACAAAAAGATTAAAGTTACAATAATAAACAATTTTTTCATCGGCATCTCCGAAATCAAAAAAATCTCACTTTTTTGTTTTTTTTTCGATTTCAATATTTTTTTTATTTATTTTTTTACGTTACTATAATGAGGTTGGTAAATTATGTAAAAATGAACAAATAGTTTTTTTCCTTGAAAACTTGAATTAGATTGCCTAAATGGTCATCTATGCTTTTGTGAGGTTACAATGGCTTTAAATAATTTTTTGAAACATTTACGTTATTATTCTGTCATCAATATGTTTGAGATTTACAAATTGATGAAATTTTTTAAAATGATAATTTTGGTAAATTTATGGAGATTAATTTGGATAAATTTAATTGTATAATTTGGATAAATTTAATTGTATAATTTGGATACATTTAATTGTATAATTTGGGTACATTTAATTGTATAATTTGGATCCATTTAATGATACATTTTCTTCTTTTAATCATTTGAAATAAAAAAAAAAACCAGTTTTCAAACGTTTTTAGTATCTCTTGGCGTAAATATTAATAAACCAATATATTATTTTTAATCGCCACATTTTAAGCTAATTATATCAAATATATCAAATTTTGTTACCCTGAATTCCCTTTCTTTCCGTTCTTCCCTTTCTTTTCAAATGATAACTGTTAGTTTTATCCAATTTTAGGTATAAAATAAAAATTTAATTGGTATTGTTTCTTGTAAATTACTTTAAATGTTTAAATGTTTTGGTGTTACAAGAATATTAGGATTTGCAGGATTATAACTTTTATGTACGTGAAATGTTTTTTTTTTTGACCAGGGATTATCCCCCCCAGTTTTAATTTCAGCCTTACGTTAGTCTATTTTTAAACAAAAAAAAAAATTAATTTAAAAGAAATAGTAAACTGTTTAGAAAATTCCCGAAATTCCGGATTATATTATCATCACCGGAATGAGTTACTACGTAAGGCGGGCAACTCCGTCAAAATTTATCGTATCACATTTTATTTAACCAATAATATTTTAAATAAAAAAGTTATTTATAATATTTAATTATTAATATTTCTATCGATAAGTCGAACGATATTTTATCATGTATAATGACGTACTTCCCATCTCTTAAAAAATTTTTTTTTTATGATTTTTGCAAATTTAACAATTTTACAAATATTTTACGGTGAAATAATTGATCCGATCTTCAGATGTTTATTTATTTTTAATACATGAAATATGCATGAATTTTACCGTTTATTTATCTGTTACGTGAATGAATATATATATATAATTTTTATTTTTTTTTTACCTAAATCGCGATATCTATTATCTGTTATTAATCAAAAATAGTAACATAATTATTTATTATTTTATATACACAATAAATTACATAATATAATTGATATTTATATTACTTTTTAATATCTTTGGTTTTATCATCATGTATATACTATGATTTCTAATATACACGGTAATGATTTATTTAATATTTAATATTTAAAATTTTTAATCACCAAAAATAACTTATCCGATTATATATAAATAATAAAAAATCGAATGATATGATGGTCATTTAAATGACGGGATTAAGAACCCTTTTTTTACAATGATAAATTTGTTTCATAAATATATATTAAAACTTTGGAATATTTTTTTTTCTGATTGGCTTCAATAGGATTGCGCCTTAATTTATAGAATGGTAAGAATGGTACCAAATCAAACCCTTTCGACTAGTCCAAAAAAAGATAAGATGTGAATATCAGTTCTTCTTGATGCTTAATGTGCTTAATGCAACGGAAACTGATAAATAATGCAAACTGACTAAAACCTTTATTATATATTAATTTAAACCCATCTTCCTGTTTTAGACTATCATGAAAATCCAAAAGCTTGGATGAAATCAGCAGTTTTTGAGGAAGTACTTCATAATATTTTAGAATACTACCGTTTATCAGAGTTTGAATAAGATGAAGATAATGTTAATAAAGAAGTGTCTTCAAAGAAGTTATACTGGAATATTAGATCAGTATGTTGTACATTATTAAAATTAAGCACATTTTCTACTTACAAAATAAATTTATTAATTAAAAAACACTTTTTGATATTAACCTATAAGCCATAATAGTAATAATAGATCAAGAAAATTCAATCTGATATTTTCCAGCTTTAATTAACTCATGTTAAAATAGCCTTTCTTCTACCTAATACTACAAGCCACCTTTAACTTCTTGATACTGGAATAATTGCAAATTTTAAAAATCATTTTAAATGAAAATATTACTATTATATACTGAGTCTTTTTAAAGAAAGTAAAGATATTAATAAGAAAATTAATATTAAAAAGACTGTCAATTATTTAGCAAATGTATGAAAAAATATAATTGAAGAAACAATTATTAATTGTTAAATAAAAACTGGAATATTGCTTACTTCATCTAATAAATAAATGCTGAGACCGTAAACTTGTATAATATTACAGTTGAAATATTTGAAAATTTATGAGACTGTAAACCTGCATAATGCAATTTTAAAAAGAAATAATAGATAAAGAAATAGCAAATATTAACCAAATTATTAGTTGAAAAGTTAAATACAGAAACAAATCCTTATACTGCTTTATTAACAAATGCATTTAATAACTTTTTTTTGAATTTAAAAGAAAATATTCCAATAAAAGAAATTTCAAGTGATAATAATATTTAAAATTAATTCAAGAAAAGTGCATAATTATGATAATGGATGATGATTTAAATAATAAAGAGCTAGTAATTATACTTTTCCGCTAATTAATTACGTTGTATTTCGGTAAATGGACCAATTCACTATTTATTATAAAATTACTATAAATTAATTACGTCTGTCAAAATACATTACGTCTGTCAAAATAAATTTAATTAGTATTTTGTCATTTTGACGAAAAGTATACTAGTAATATACTTAAATCCTTAAAGTTTCTTTTTTTTAATAATGGATAAATCTAATTGTAACAGCCTGTTACGCATCTTATTTGTAACAACCCCAATTTTATCCAATTAAAATTTAAGATCAGGCGTAATGTAAACAAAACCAAAAGATCAGTTGTGTAACTAAGACAAAAGAATTTTTTAAAAAATTTCAAGAAACTGCTTATAACTTAAAATTTTGTCTATAAAACTGTCTTAAATACATTAAGTAAAAGTTTTCCAAATTAAATTTTGCATATAAAAATTTTATTTGTAAATTTGTGAAACACATATTATATTAAATTTATTATTAAAAAAAAAATAAAAAAAGGATATTACAAATAAGATATGTAACAGGCTGTTACAAATACATTTTTTCTTTAATAATAATCATTAAATAAATTTAATATAGAAAATATATATGTAGTATTTAAAAATACTCATATCTGCCAATTTGCAGAATTTGCTGATCATCAATTATGTGGTGCAGTACTGATTAAAATCGATTAAAACCTGTTCTTATGTAAGAAAAAATGTTAAAAATATATAAAAAAAAACTTTTAAGACTTCTCCCAAAATATTTACCTCTTTAACCCGAAACTAGTAGAAGGAGTTTCTAGAAAAAAAGGGAAAAAAATATTATAAAGTTAGTTTATTAAAAAAAAAAGAAAAACTTTACAAAAATCCAG